CTGGGCCTACTGGAAGCTTCTGGGCGGAGGCCCAGTGCAGCCAGGCTGCATGCAAGGCAGGCAGGCCACTTTCATTTAGGAAAGGGCCTGCACACGCATTGGGCATTCGGGCACTGGCTGCATGCTGCGCAAGTGCTGCTGCGCTAACGCTGGCAGTGCTCATGGTCGAGATGGAAGGAGCAGGCAGCCGTAGCCGAGCTGCGCTGCTGTATGCTGGATGGGGCGCATGGTGGTCCTTGGGTGCATGTGGCATCTGTGAGTTGGGGAACGAGGTTGTGAGTGATACGAGAGACATACATGGTGCTTGAAGCGTACGACATTGGCCGAGATCTGCTCGGGGAGCTGTTGACATCATCGGCGGCATTGTAGACTAGGCTAGATAGGATCTGCCATTTGTAGTCTGGGTGCCGAGTGCCAGATAGGATATCGACATTGGTTCTTCGTTGATGATGATGAGACTATTCCAGCATTGTCAATTATGAGCTTTTGCTGTGTTCTGATATTACTAGCACTTGAAGTCTGACATAGGGTGCTAACTACAGGTACCACTGACAACCACAAGCAGTCCATAAAAGTGCATGCCGACGACCATGCAGATAACAAGGTCAATCACTCAGGTAATGAGGATGACCATGACCACACTGAGCACGAGGGTAACAACAAAAAATATTTGGTTTTACTCGTTAAGTTCCATCATCCGGATTCAAACTCAGGTCTTTATTTCAATGGTTCGTAGATGTACCAACTGAGCTAGGCCCGTTGATTCCACCATCAGTCTCGGAGCCAGTGCTGGGCCCATTCAAAAGTGGGATAAAAAGGGATGATAAAATAGTAATTAAAATTTTTAAATAATAAACAACGAGAAAAGCGAAGTGCGAGGGAAAAGGTTATTACTAGCACTTCCTCGATCCCGCCACTCGGCCCCGAGCTTGGGACCGACGACAAAACCAAGGGGTATAGTCCTGCCAGACCCTCAACCCCTCGGTTCATGCCAGAGAGGGCCCGGGATCGATGACAAAACCACAGGGGATAGTCTTGCCAGACCCTCAACTCCTCCATTAACTCAGCTGCTCCTCCGCCGTCAGCTGGCCTTCATCCCCATACGTGTTACGTGAAAGTCAAATGTCGTAGCCAATAGGGCTAAGCGCAAGTCTGGTTGTAGCGGGGGCCAAATTTCTTATGAATATATCTGCCCCGTGTCCAGACCTGCATAAATAAAGCAAGGCCACACCTTGGCCCACCGAACCGCGCCAAAGCCACAACTTGGCTTGTCGACTGAACCCACGGCCGTCAAGCTCCTGCTCTTGCCACGCGAAGATTTGGAAACCGTTTATTGTTGCTGTGCGTGCTTCTGCCCATGTCTGCGTTGTGCTCGCCTCCAATTCCAGGCCCGTGTGAGCGGCCATTTTCAACCTGTAGTTTTACTATTTTGGCCAACGGTCTCGGTACTTGAGTGGACACAACTCCCAACCTATTACCTGTGTCAGACGCCGTTTACGTATGCCTTGCCGAGGCTGCAGTTGGATCCGACCGACAAGCCACAACACAATAATCAAGGTGCCTCATGCACTCCGTCCTACATTGACTTCGGTGCTGCTTCAGCAAGTCAACAATAATCAGCTCGAATCACGACACTAATAGTCAACCTTGATGTCGGTTACACAAATACTTGCTTCTGCGCGCGCGCCTGCAGTGTGCGCGGGCATGCTTATCAAAATTTAATATTTCTCTATCTTGCACCATTGTGCGAGATCTCTTGCCGGACCACCAGTTCCCGGAACCGTCAGACATCTAGATAATCAATGCGTGTCTCAAAGTGCTCACACACTCTCTAATACAAACAAAGTGCCCTCCCTTCCTCTTACTGTTGAGAGTTGGATGCGACCTATACAAAAGGATGGACGCACTACTACCCCAGCTTGCGCTAGAAATGCAGTTTCTGTGCCTTGCGAAAATATGGACAAATACCCTTGTAAGTTGTAAGGGTATTTGGGCCGACAGCGGTAGCCTCTAGCCATCCCAGGATCCCGTGGGAGAAGAAGCTCCCCCCCAAAAGGGAAGTTCTTTGTTCGTTTGGTGTGACCCGTTGACCTATAACTGTTGTAGGATGTGAAATGAAGTGCCATTTCTTCAAAAGAAAGGTTTGATTGTTTTTGGGGGGGGACGAAAGTGAGCTTCAATAAAAAGGCCAAAAAATTATCAAAATTTCTCTTCTAAGGATCTGGCAGACCCTCCCGAATGTCGGATGTAGTATCTGGACTGAAGTGAGTCCAAAGGCACAAGCGGTTATCGGATAGCTGAAAATTCAGGAATGAAAATTCTGAAGTGAGAGTTTTGGGCAGTATGAAAATCCTGAATGGTTTTGAAGTGGTGAAAGGTCCGAAGACCCTGAAAACCACTTGTTTAGGCAAGCTGCATCCTGAAGCGGTGAAGGGTGTCCTGAAGTGGTCAAGTGAGAGTTTATGGCAGTCTGAAAGGGTGTCCTGAAGTGGTAAAGTGAGAGTTTATGGCAGTCTGAAAGGGTGTCCTGAAGTGGTCAAGTGAGAGTTTATGGCAGTCTGAAAATCCTAAATGGTGCTGAAGTGGTGAAAGGTCCGAAGACCATGAAAACCACCCTTCACCACTTGAGGATGCAGCATGCCTAAACAAGTGGTTTTCGGGGTCTTCGGAGCTTTCACCACTTCAGGACCATTCAGGATTTTCAGACCTGAATGGTCCTGAAGTGGTGAAAGGTCCGAAGACCCTGAAAACCACCTATTTAGGCAGGCTGCATCCTGAAGTGGTGAAGGGTGTCCTGAAGTGGTGATGAAAAATACGACTATTGTTAACCTTCTCTCTCCAAAGGCCGACAAACCCTCATAACAGTTTTGGCCTTTTTTTTTGGGCTTTCCAGCAAAGCCCATTTTCCTTATACAAAAACAAAATCTTTGTTTTGACGAAATGGCAGTTAATGGCTGTTCGCTGGGAAACGGATAGCAATTGAAACTGGATGTGGGCCATGAAGTGGCACGCCTGCCTCTGCTGCAATGTTATGGTCAATGTAGTACTTTGTGGTACCAATCGTGCCTTCATGCGTATTGTCAATAATAATGTTTCTTAGGTGTCTATCCTGATGGACACAAGACAAAAGGAACAAGTTGTTAAAAGGGCGAAAGGAATGGGTTCTTAAAAGCATCCTTACCATTTAGTTGGGACAAGTGCTTGACATACTTCTAATTAGTTGGGGGCGTTGACAAATACCGTTGGTGATGTGTCAGAAATACACACACTTCACTGGGAAAAAATGGGAGATGACTAGCAACAAATGCAAACGTTTTTTATTTCCCTTTTTGTTCCGAATAAGACAGAGAAATAGCCCAAGCGAGCTAGCTCAGTTGGTTTGAGCACGTAAGTGGTATTCAGGAGGTTGCGGGTTCGATTCCCCACGTCGTCCATTCAATCCCCCACGGCCTCCTGTGTTACGCTTCGGCTTCACCAGCGGAGATGTTCGGCTTGGGCCTCCTGGCTGGTTGTGGAAGTGGTGATTGGTCTTCCCAGCCCGTGCCAGGTGTTAGGAGCTTGGGTGCTGCTCCCTGCACAGAGCAGAGATTGGTAGGCTTAGACCCATAACCCTGCGGCTGTTCAGGTTTGAGTAGTGTATTTAAGGCGTTTCGCTCCCACTCCTGGTGATTCTAGCTTAGTTGGTTATTCGCTGCTTGTGATTCCAGGTCTTTCCTTAGGATTAAGGGTAGGACATAGACATGGGTAGCTAGTGTAAGACACATTGAGAGAAGATAATAGGGTAGGAAAAAATGCAACTGTCTCCCATACGAGGAGAAGGCAGCTGTTTTTTTTTCTTCTTTAAAAACAAAAAAAAGGGAGAAGGGGAGATGGAAAAAAAAGACACAGAAATAGTTTGGGAAAGAATGGTCGGACCAGCCAAACAGCGAACCATGGTATGAGAGGCAACCCCCATTTTCTATGGGGGTCAGAATGGGCCACATATTCTGGCCTTGTTGACACTGGGTTACTGACCCTATTTTCTTAGCTTTTCTGTCCTTACCAGCCTGTTCCCACTAACCCTGCTCCCTTCTGCCTCACAGTCTCTTGCTCTCTGTTTTCGAAGCAACCCCAACTCGTAACTGGTCATGTACCTTTACCTTTGTTAAATCATCATAGTCTTTGCCACTGCCTACCCCACAAGAAAGTAAGGATGGGAAAAGGAAAGCCACAAAGTGCAGCAATTCGGACATTGCCAGCTTCTAGAAGGGAAGAAAGAGGGACAGGATTGGATCCCGATCGTCCAGTCTTTGTTATTGGTGTCTGTTTGATTAATAGTGATATTCGAATCGTTCTTTTACCTCCTCTCTTCCTTGGTCTCTTCCCTTTGTTCTTTTTTTTTTATAAAGGGTGACAACCTTGAGATATTATCGTGGAATCGACTGCCTCATTCAACAACCGTCTTCACCCGAATAGAACACCCGGTCATTATAGCTCTATTTGGTGCAATTTCCAGCCCAGGTACAGTCATAATTACCGGGCATTCTATTCGGGTGAAGACGGAAGTTGGATTCAAGCTTACGTCTGTATTTCAACAGTTCATGGGTGTACCAACTGAGCTAGGCCTACTGGTACACGATTGTCCATTTCTTGTTATTGATGGCACTTGAATTGCCAGGTGGAAAATCAGTTCAGCGCGTACAGACCAAGTAAGAATGAAAGTTAGTATCTGAAGCACCTGGTTGATGAGGGATAAGGTTGGATCCTGATTGTCCGTGCCATGTTATTGATGGTATTTGATTTCATCCGGACGGCCGCTTCCTTGTAATCATTGGTATTCAATTTGTCACGTGGAGAATGAGTTTGGGGCATGCAGACGGAGTAAGGATGAAAGCCGACATGTGAAGCACGTGGTTGAAAGAAGGATAATGTTATCCTGATTGCCCAGTCTTTGTCAGTGATGGTATTCCATTTAATCCTGACCACCTATTCATTGTCATCATTGGTATTCAATTTTCCAGGTGGAAAATGAGTTTGGTGCATACAGACCTAGTAAGAATGAAAGTCAGTATCTGAAGCACCTGGTCAACAGAGCCAAGGCTGCACTTGGCAACGATGTTGTAATGTAAGTAGCCCATCCCATTTCATGTTGTCTGTGTTATCACAATTGCTCTTTCTTTCCCTCCCTTTCCCTATCTTTCTTTTCTTTAGAAGTTCTATTATCCTGGTCAGCTCATAATACAGAATTCAAAGAAGAGACAATGCATTCAATTGCAACTCACGTAGAAGGAGAATGAGACAAGGGAAGAAGAACAATGGAAGAAAGAAAAAGATAAACAGAAGTTGGAACCAATGTCGTCACCGTCCTCAACTCTTCCCCATCATCTCTCCCTCAACATTATCTCCAACGTCTTAATAACAATAATAGGCTACGGCAATGAATGAATGAGCCAAAAATCAATGTCCGATTGTTCTCTCTTACCGCCAGCCTTGGAAAGAGCCTCCTTTGGCTTTCTTCACCTTCCTTCCACCTCAGTATGGTTACTGGCTATGGCGGGACATCGAATTATACCACGGATGTTCAAAGGACAATGCAAACACTCGCATGTCCACTTCCCTCAACTACCACCGTGCCTACTCTCTCCGGAGGGAGTCCATGCCGAACCGGTACTCACTCAGGGGCTTCCTTGAAGCAGAGAAGAAGATAAAGTCCACCGTATCCAAAGGTGAATCTCCTTGTTGTTTTCCACCTCCTTCCTCTACCTCGACTACACCAGAGCCCGGCTAGAGGTCTGTCTCCCTCACCTCCTTAGCCTAGGTCTATGGCTTCCTCTCCCAACTACACCCCCATAGCCATTGAGGTCTTCTCCTTCACCCTCCAGATCCACCTTCAACCTCCAGGAGCTCCCCTACTCTCCTCTTGGCGGAGCAAGGGCATGACTGCTGGGTGAATGAGCGCTAATTGCACCAAATGGCCTGTGGTACCTTTTGGCCGGGCACTACCTGCTTCTACCCGGCCTCCTTTGGGTGCACTAGGCCTACCGGTGTTCCCTGCTTTTGGTGGGAACTTCATTGCAGACTGATATCTACCTGCAGGCCCTGAACTTGGACTTCTACCAACCTACATTCAGGCCCTGGACCATCATTACCTACTGGACCCTTCTAGGCCCAACCGACTTGCTGGAAAATCTCTACCGGCCCTTAACAAATTCTACTTGTGCCCCTGCCCATTCGGCACCCAATTTCAGTCCGTCCCTGTCATTCTTCCCCCCCCCCCAAACAAAAAAAAACTACCCCTTTAAGGGGGATGGGCATCTATTCTGTGGGCCATCAGTCCAGTTGCTCATCACCGGCAAGCAAGTACACAAACCGAATGTTCGAACACTCAGCATAAGACCAGCCTTACCCTTGCGGCCCTAGACACCTGGCCAAGGGGGCACCACTTAAGGACCTCCTCCCTCCCTGTCCCCTGGGCCCCTTCCGGTTCATTTAGTGGTCAGGAGACTTACTAGCAGTACCCGGTCACACAGTAAGTGAACCATGGGTGCACAGGGCATGGGCTGGTTGCCTTACCGGCCTCACAGGCTTTCCAGGATGGCCACACCATTTTGTACCACTATTGCCCCTTAGTTCCCTCCCCACCAAATAGAAGCAGTGTTCTACGTCCTTAGTTCCCTCCCCACCAAATAGAAGCAGTGTTCTACGTCCATCCCTTCTTCCACCCCACTTCCCCACCTCGTGCCTCCCTTCCTACCTAATCCTGCATTTATTCGCCACAGGCCCGCTCCTCTTGTCGGACATCCATTCTAACCACTATAGCAGTACTCCTCTTCTAACCTCCCCTCACCCCTCCCAGGACGTTACCCCGACCCCATATTTTCCAAGTTTCCAAGTTTTCTCCCACCCCCCCTCTCCCCCTGCCCTTGACCCGTCTCATCCTACCATGGTAACTAACCTCTCCCCCCCCCCAAGCACTCCCTACTCTATCACCCACCATCTCTGACATACTGTACACTATCCTTTCTTTTTTTTTTTCTGAAATACCGGGGCCATTACCCGGCTTCGGCTGAGAATCAATTAAGAAAATTCAAGGAAATTTAGGAGAAGTCATGAGTAACTACTAAGTTAACTAACCAATTCAACAATCCTTTTTTTCGCACTATCCTAATGGTACTTGGTGGCTCCTATTCCACCGGCAGCACATGTTGTTGCAGGATGTGACCAAACTGGAAGCCCCGCTGTTGATCCTTGCCCACCAGCAGTGGGTACGCTTCCCACCTCTTCCAAAATCGGGCCGCTGTGAAACCATCTCTGTGCCTACTCCCTCTCCATGGGAACGGGTCCCCGTTGCGGTCACAAATGAACCTATTACCGAACAGCAGCTGGCTGTGGGCTCCGTCCGCCGTGGTGGACATTTGATTTTGCATCCGAATCTTTTTCCACAACGGCTGCATGAGCTTGGTCCACGCCACCCTGCATATGGAGTTCTCTGCGTGTGCATTGTTGGACCACAAGTATGCATGAATTGCTCGTCTTAGGTACTGAAACGAACCGGTGGCCCGGCATGTGAATAGCGCCTGCATACCACAGCGTGGCGAGCATGGAGTGTTTTATGACCAGCACCTTACTGGAAATGCCCAGTCCAGTCGGTTAGGACCATGTATTGAGTCGTACTACAGCGGCCACCGCCCGCATTGCCATCTGCTCCACAGCTCCATAACTGCGAGTGAGATTAGTGCCCAGAAACATCACTCTCTGGTCCCCTTCCACTGTTGGTACATCCCAGTCCGTCGGCGGTGCCACCACCGGGGGAAGCATGGCTTTGGATTTGGCCCAATTAATCCGGGCCCCGGAATATTTGCAGAAAGCTGTTGGTACGTCCCAGTCCGTCAGCGGTGCCACCACCGGGGGAAGTCCTCCTTTAGCAGCGCCAGCTAGCGGCCCCGCGGGGGGGATCACCGCCCCCGGATCATCGGCAAAAGCTGTTGACTGCAGCAGCTCGTATGGTTGCATCTTCAGGCCTTGCAGTCTGCTGTCGGCCCTCAGAATCTTGTGCAGAAACTGGATGTACAGGACGTACAAGGCCAGGGACAGCGGCCATCCCTGCCACACAGATCAGGTGACCTGTAGCTTTTTGGATCTCACCCTGTTGACCTGCATGATTGTTGTTGCCCAGCGCAGCGAACACCTAATCCAGCCTCTAAACATGCCCCCAAATCCCCACTGAGCCAGCCCCTGCAGCAGAAACTCCCATCAAACCCTATCCTAGGCCTTTTCCAGGTCTATTGAGGTAAAGGCCGTGGTTTGTCCCCCACACTCGCCTTCCTCCAGCACTTGGTGCGCCAGAATTACCTTTGCTAAAATCTCCCTTCCCGCCGTTCCCAGTGTAAACCCCGTTTGAGTGGGGTGAATGAGCGTAGGCAGCACTTCGCGCAGCCCATTTATCAGCACTTTCACCAGGATTTTGTAAATGGCATTGAGGGATGGAGATTGGGCGCCAGTTGCGGACATCCTCGCTGAGCCCTTTCTTGTACAGCAGGACAGTATATGCGTCTGCAAACCCCAGCGGCACCTTCATGTCACAAGGCCTCATTGTATGCCAGCAGGAGGAGTTGCACAAAGAAGTGCCTGAAGTCCTTGTACAACTCCACACCAGTGGCACGCCATCAAGACCGGGTGCTTTCAATCTAGGCAACTCTGCAATGGCTCGCTTCACCTCGTCGTGTGAAATGTTTCGTGTTCCAGTTTGCAGCTGCGTTCCAGATCCAATTGAGCATGAACATGCTGCCATACATCCTGCTGTGGCTCGCTGTCCATCTCCTCTGCGGGATAACCAGTGTCACACGTCAGGATAACCAGTGTCATCCGCTGCCTTCCCATCTGATCGTTGAACGGGTGATCCGTTGCTGACATTACCGTCGGGGCTTTGCTGGTGCCCACTGCCACAAAAAACTTCCTCGACATCCGCTCTCCCACCAGCGTTCATGTTCCCTTCGTTCGTCGGCCCCATTTCACCACCGCCTTCACCTGCCATTCCGTCCATGCAAGGGCGGCCTCCACCTGCTCCGCCCACCATTCAACTTTCATCTGTCCTCCCGTCCGGCCCCGAAACGGCTCCTGAACTCTGTGTGCAAACTCCTCCCCCATCTGTTGATGCGCCAAATAACTATTCTAGAGGGCGACCGCCAACCGGGTCCGGAGGTCGTGGATGGCATCAACAACCTGGCTCAAGACATTGTCTGGTTGGCAGCCTTGCACCCAACCTTCCCAGAATCGGGCTCTTAAAGACCCATGCTGGAATAGCCTTCGGTGGCCTGCCCATGTCCGAATTCCCCACCAAGTGGCAAGTAGCTGGCTATGACCGCAGTGTGGTCAGATGTTGCCGTGGGGTGTATTTTCACATGCTCCAGCTTGTCGATGAGTCCTGCAGTGGATGAGATCATGCAATACGGCTGGATTGCAAGGAAAGATCATGTCAATACGGCTGGATTGCATGGCAGTGTTCCTCTAGAAGGTAAATGGTTTTTCATCGGGGTGCAGGGCCCGGTACGCGTCGCTGCAACCCAGCGTGGCCATGCTCATAATCAGGGCCAGTGAATCTGCCTCCACCCATCTGTGTTACAATCCTGGTCATTCCCAAAGTGCAAACTCACAATGAAAGACAATGCCACCCAATTGCGAAAGAAATGAAAGCACTTGCAAAGAGATAGAGACCAAAGAAGATAGAAAGAAGAAGAAGAAGAAGAAGAAGAAGAAGAAGAAGAAGAAGAAGAAGAAGAAGAAGAAGAACCAATGACAAATCCCCCTTCTCTCTTCACCTTCCTCCTCCTCCTTCACTTCGCCAATCTTATTCTTCTTCCAGTAATAATAATAACAATGAGTGGATGAACCAGAATCAGTATCCGAAGTTCCCTCTTACTGCTGACACAACAACAACAACAACAGGTCCACCATAGCTATGGCTTCCCCCCTTCTCCCACCTCTCACAAACCTAGGCTATGGCGGACAACTGAGGGCTCTGCTCCTCTCTGTGCAAAGGACAACACAAAGCAGCTATGGCGCTGCACTCCTGTCCAAAGGACAACCCAAAGCAGCTATGCCGCTGCTGACTAGGCCGCCATGCCT